GTTTGGTTTTGTTTCATGCATGTGTGCCTGTATTTTGTGTGTGTGCTAAAAGTCAAAACCAATGCTTGTGTGTGCTAAGCAAGCACTTTACTGCTGAGATAAATTCCTAGCCCAATTTCCTTGCTTCTTAGCTATCTTTGTAAACTGAGAATTACTTGTAACCCTTTGGTATTGTATTTCCAAAATAAACCTCTAAGGCTTAGGAAGAGTTAAGTGTTGACACAGAAAAGAAAGTGCTCTTATACTGGGTAGTTTGTAGTCAGTTTGAGTTATTGCATGCCACAGTTCTAGAAGCTTGCAAGCTCAAAATTAAAGTAGAGCAGATTCAATGTCTAGGCAAGGCCCATTCCACGTAGCTGATACCCTCTTGTGTGCCCTCACATGGAGAGCAGGGCGAAGAGGCTCTCTGAAACCTCATTCATACAAACATCAATCCCAGGTTCAATCTCTACCACTAAAAAACAACAAAAAGTCTGTGCAGTTTTGGTACAGCGGTCCATGCTGCAATAGCAGGGCAGGCTTAGATGGGCGGATTCTGAGTTCAAGGCCAGATGAGGCTACATTGTACTAATCATAACCATAAGGGCTCAATCACAAAGGTTGAATTTTCAGGACCCAATCACTTCCCAAAGGCTTCTTCCTAGTATCATTTATATTGAAGAAAAGGATTTCAGTGTAGGAACTGGGTGGGGGAACAGAAGCATTCATTCCATAATATTTGTTAAAGGAAAAATAACCAAATCCAGACACTCAACAAGGCAACACTCACAATAACCTTGCATCCACTAAAAAAACACCATATAATGAAAAAATTTTAAAGAAACACATATTAAGAAATTGCTAGGGGCTAGAGAGACCGCTCAGTGGTTAAGAGCATTGACTGTTTTTCCAGAGGTCCTGAGTTCAATTCCCAGCAACTACATGGTGGCTTACAATCACCTATAATGAGATCTGGTGCCCTCTTCTGGCCTGCAGGGACACGTGCAGGCAGAATACATAATAATTTTTATTTATTTTTTTAATTGCTAGACCTGCAATGAAGTAGTGAAAACGTAAGAGGAAGAGAACTCCCTCCAACTGCCTCATACGTGACAGAATGAGAGTAGAGACAGGCTTTAGAATGGCTTTTATAGCCATGCATATAAGGAAAACATGGACATAATGGCCAGCGAATGGGAGTCATAAAGAAGAAACAAGTGAAACTTGTCTGTGGGTTTAAAAAGTAATAAAAACAAGCCGGGCGGTGGTGGCGCGCGCCTTTAATCCCAGCACTAGGGAGGCCGAGCCAGGCGGATCTCTGTGAGTTCGAGGCCAGCCTGGGCTACCAAGTGAGTTCCAGGAAAGGCTCAAAGCTACACAGAGAAACCCTGTCTCGAAAAACCAAAAAAAAAAAAAAAAAAAAAAAAGTAATAAAAACAAATCTTAAGGGGCTGGAGAGATGGCTCAGTGGTTACGAGCATTTGTTGAGGACCTCTCATACAGGGCCTGAGTTCCATTTCTAGCATTTGGTGGCATACAACCATCCCTAATTCCAGTTCTCGGGGATTCAATGTCCTAATCTGACCTCCACATGTACCAGGTACACATGTGGTGTGCACACATTCATGTAGACAAAACATTCACACACATAAAATAAATCTAAAAATATAATTATTTTATTTTATTTTATTTATTTATTTTTGGTTTTTCAAAACAGAGTTTCTCTGTGTAACAGCCCTGGCTGTCCTGGAACTCACTCTGTAGACCAGGCTAGCCTCAAACTCAGAGCTCCATCTGTCTCTTCCTCCCAAGTGCTGGGATTAAAGATGTGCGCCACCACTGCCCAGCCAAAAATGAATAAATCTGAAATGGAGGTTGGGGAGCTGGAGGGACGGCTCAGCAGTTGACAGCATTTGCTGCTCTTGCAGAGGACCTAAGTTTAGTTCCCAGCACCCACACTGGGTAGTTCACAGCAGCTAGCAACGGGCTCTAGGGGGACCTGATGCTTCGTGTCTCTGTGGGCACCTGAACTCACACACAGAACACACCCCCCAGACAAATACAGGTATACATAATTAAAAATAATAAAAATGAATATTTATTTATTTATTGTTTTGGAGGGGACAATTTATTTATTGGGGTTTTTTTGGGGGGGGGAGACAAGGTTTCTCTGTGTAGCTCTAGCTGTCCTGGAACTCACTCTGTAGACCAGGCTGGCCTCAAACTCACAGCTATTCTCCTGTCTCTGCCTTTGGAGTGCTGGGATTCAAGACATGTACTACCACACCCAGCCCATGAATCTTTAAAAAAAAAAATGTAAGGTGTGTCAAGGAAGAGTGCTCAGTTGGTAAAGCGCTTGATGCACAAGCCTGACAATCTGAGATTGGATACCTGGAATCCACACAAATGCCAGATGTGGTAGTGCGCATGTGTTTTTAATCTCAGCATGCCTCTAATGCAGTGGTTCTCAACCTTCCTAATGCTTCGACCCTCTAATACAGTTCCTCATGTTGTGGTGACCCCTCCAACCATAAAATTATTTTCATTGCTACTTCATAACTGTGATTCTGCTACTGTTATGAAATCATAATGTAAGTATCTGATACGCAGGATATCTGATACATGATACCTGTGAAAGGGTCATTTGACCCCCAAAGGGGTCATGGCCCCCAGGTTGAGAACCAGTGCTCTAATGGGGGCTATGAGACAAAGACAAGAGAACTGTTGGAAGCTGGAGGACTAGCTAGCCTGACATATATAGCAATGAACAAGAGACAACCTGACTCAAAACAAGGTAAAAGGTGAGGACTAGCAGCCAAGGTTGTCCCTTCACATCTATGTATGTGCTATGGTGCGCGCACACACACACACACACACACACACACACACACACACACACACACACACACACACACACACACTGCAAGCTCAGTTTGGTAGTACAGGCCTGTAATCCTAGAACTCTGCATGCTGGGGCTGGAGGAGTTGGAAGTTGAGGCCACCCTCAGCTACCTAACTGGGACATGACTCTAAAAAAGAAAAATTCACTTTGGGTCATCATTTCAGATGTTGCTCCACCCTGTGCATTTGCACAGAACTTCATGGCGGTGAGAACACATAGAGGAAGGGGTTATTCACCTCTCCACAGACAGGGAGTACATAGTAAGGACCAGGGACTAGGCATAACCTTCAGTGCACACCCCCAGCGCTTTACATCCTCCAGCTAGGCAACAACTCATAGTTTGCAGACCTAATAAAATAGCATCATCAGCTACGAGTCAAGGCCTTATCGCATGAGCGCATTGGGACTTTTTATATTCAAACCACATTATTGCATCCACAGATCCAAAGCATCTGACAAATCCCACAAAACAGAATAATAAAATTGCTGAAAATCTGTGACTAAGAGAATATCTTCAGAATTAATCAGATTTTCGAAATACACACTGGAAACACCATGTCTTTCTCATCAGAAAAGGTACCTTGGTGGTGCACTTCTTTTTTGTTTAAATAAACATGTTCTCATTGAATCTCCTAAGACTCTTAGTCTGATATCATCTCTTAAGGACCATAAAGGGATGGTTGAGAAGAACCCTGACTCAAGAAGAGGTTACTGCATCCCAAAACTCTGTAAGCTTTCTCTTCTGTAATATCAGCTGCTTTGTGTGTATGGGGTTTTTTTCCCCTTACACTAGGGTAGTTTTGCTACTCGAAATGGTTAAGATTTTGTTATCTTGGCCAGCCATGGATACAGTAAAATCCCTTCTGTTATTCTTAGACTCATGTGAGACTGAAGAGAAAATAAAATGTAAAAGGGCTCTTTAAAAATTCAAGCATCGACGGGCAGTGGTGGCGCATGGCTTTAATCCCAGCACTCGGGAGGCAGAGGCAGGCAGATCTCTGTGAGTTCGAGGCCAGCCTAGTCTACAGAGTGAGATCCAGGACAGGCACCAAAACTACACCGAGAAACCCTGTCTCAAAAAAAAAAAAAATTCAAGCATCATTAAAGTCTGTATAAAAACTTGTAGAAAAATAAGAACTTGCAGTTTAGCTGCATATGGATAAATGATGTAGTTTGTTTCATTCTGCTATAACACTGTTGGGATTCAGCTATCTGTGGGTTAGTTGGCGAATTTATTTTGATATGCTGCTGTTTTGACTAGATCTTTATTTTTGTTACATTAATGAAGGAAGCAGGGTAAAAATGAGGTAGTAAAAGGACGAAGAGATGAAAAGAAGTCATTAGGGGAACATTTTTTTGAACTAAGGATGGATTTTTGTATGGCAAAATAAAGACTTTGTCCTAACAATTGGTCCAAAGTGGAAGTAGATAAGGGCCAAACCAGGTCAAAAGTATGTTACAGAAGAAACATGACAGGATTTATGTCATGCTGGCATGCCATGAAATACAGTTGAGAGGGCTGTGTATTTCGGAGAGCGAAATAAAGTAGTATTCCTGTTCCGAAGCTGCCAACCTCACTCAGTAAACGGATACAAGTGATGGGGTTACAAGCTGCTAATGCTTTATTTAGCTCCTGCGTTCCACATTTTTGTTGTCTGTTGTTCCTGTAAGCTTCCCTGTGCCCTCCCATCCCATATGTGTGGGGATGCTTGCACATACTTTGCTGCCCTGGTTCCACATGGCAGAGGTAGAGAAAGAACTTATGTGTGTATTTTTGCCATGCAACACCAAGACCTTTCCCTCGGGCATTACTCAATCTATGCTGACCACCAAACCTGCTCTTACAGACAGCAGCAACTAGGTTAGAGACACAGCTCCACATTATCCGGGTCCCTTCCCCAGCAACGGAGGAATTCTTTTCAGAGACATCTGCTCAGGTAAAATGGGAGTCATGGCCTCACTGAAGAAGGAATTTTCAGGACAAGCCATTTGAAACACACATTTAAGCATAGGTTAATAGAAAGGTACTCAGGAAAAAGAGTGAGGCACATCCAAGAACATGAGTATAGGTGTCTTAGTGCTTCTGCTGCTGTGATAAAGCATTGTGACCAAAAGCAACTTGGGGAGGAAAGGGTTTATTTGGCTTGCATTCCATCTCATAGTCCATCATCAAAGCAAGTCAGAGCAGAACCTTGGAAGCAGGAGCTGAAGCAGAAGCCAGGGAGGAGTGCTGCTTACTGGCTTGCTCCTCCTCAGTTTGCTTACACACTCCAGGCCCACCAGGCCAGTGGGGGCACCACCCACACTGAGCTGTGCTCTCCCATATCAACCATCAGTCAAGAACATGACCCACAGGTTTGCCTATGGGCCAACCCAATGGAAGAGTTTTCTCTGTTGAGGTTCTCTGTTCTCAGAAGACTTTAGTTGTATCAAGTTGACAAAAACAAAATAAAACAACAAACAAAAAAAAAATGAACCAACCAGGACTTGTCAAAGTGGGCTTCTCAAAGAAGAGTAACGTTTCATTTATCTTGACAATAGCCACAGGTACAGTTTTTGTGAGTTACAAAATTATTAACTTCAAGGTCTTGCTAAGAAATTTAAATGAGATCACAGGGTGGTGACCACTGCATCCTTAACAAGATTACAGTTGATAAGGTAAAAGTCTAGATCACACAGACTCAGGAAGTTAGGATAGCTTCACTAAAAACAAAAGTTAATTTTTTACTTCTGAGGTCCAGGAACTGTGCAATAGAGGGGTAAGTCATACCCAAGGGCATATATACCCAGGCCGTAAGCCTGCTTTATTGCTACTTTAACATTCTTACTTGAAATCATTTCTGTATGGAAGAAGTATTATCTCCGTGCGGCAACCTTCATAGCAAATGATAAGCATGCTGACTTTCGTTGCTGCTGTTCTTCTAGCCATCTGCTGCTCATCTGCCCTCCAGCCACCTCACCCCCCACACTTCCTGCCCTCATCCTTGGACTCCAGGTTCTTGCCCTCCCTCTGCCCCCCCTTCCTAGGCAGGGCAGACACCTCAAATGGGGCCTGAAGAGAGCAGGCACCAAGTAGGAGTCCTCAGAGTTGTGACGGGAACAGAAGGAACAGCTTCGTTCTCAGCAAAAGGGACTTAGGAGTAGAGCTTGGTGAAGGGAGGGCGCCGAGAACGCAGAGTACCAAAACAGGGCCCTGGGGCAGAGGGAAGGATGCAGGCCTGCCCTCCCCACCCCCACCCCCGAGGAAAGGAGACCCTACAGGCTCACATTCCTCCCAGTGGGAACCCTCCGTGTCTAACCACTTGTGCTTCTGGCCATCAGTTACAGCACCATGCTAGACCACCTAGTTTACCAGCCCAAGCTGCTCCTCGGTGAAGTGTATCTTGTACGGACTGAGCTTCCAGCGCTGCAGGCACATGCTCTCCAAGTTTCCTCCCAAATGGTTCCAAAGGACTGAAGGAAGACAGGAGACAGTTCATTTGTAAATAGGTAGACAGCTAGGGAGAGACATCCTGGATCAGATCACCCTAAACCCCAGTTATCCTCTGTCTTAGTTAGGGTTTCTATTGCTGTGAAGAGACACCATGACCACAGCAAGTCTTATAAAGGAAAACATTTAACTGAGGCTGGCTTACAGTTCAGAAGTTTAGTCCACTGTCATCATGGTGGGAAGCATGGTGGCGTGCAGGCAGACATGGCACTGAAGAGGTAGCTCAGAGTTCTACATCCAGATTGTCAGGCAGCAGGAAGAGACAGTGAGACACTGGGCCTGGCTTAAGCATCTGAGACCTCAAAGCCCACCCCCAGTGACACACTTCCTCCAACAAAGCCACACCTACTCCAACAAGGCCACAGCTTCTAATAGCACCACTCCCTTTGGGGCCATTGCATTCAAACCACCACACTCTCTGTCTTATTCAGTGTTCTATTGCTGTGAAGAGACTCCATGACCACAGCAACTCTTATAAAGGAAAGCATTTAACTGGGGCTTGCGTATAGTTCAGAGGTTTATTAGTCCATTGCCATCGTGGCAGAAAGCATGGCAGCATGCAGGGAAACATGGTGCTAGAGAGGAAGTTTGAGTCCTCCCGACATCCAGATCCATAGGCAGCAGGAAAAGAGAGAGACACTGGGCCTGGCTTGAGCATTTGAAACCTCAAAGCCCACCCCCAGTGACACACTTCCTCCAACAAGGCCACACCTACTCCAACAAGGCCATACCTCCTAATAAGTGCCATTCCCTGGTGACCAAGCACTCAAATCTATGAGCTTATGGGAGCCATTCTTATTCAAAATATCACATGCCCCTCACCCCGACCCCCTTTTTTGGAGACAGGGTCTCATTATGTAACCCTGGCTGTCCTGGAACTCACTATGTAAACGAGGCTGGTCTCTAACTCACAGAAATCCACCTGCCTCTGCCTCCCAAGTGCTGGGATTAAAGGTATGTGCCACTACCCCTGGCTCCAATTAATTACCTTTTGAACTGAGATGGCTTATTTCCATGTTCTTGGCCATGCTGAAGAGGCATTTTTCTCCTCTCTAGTAAGATGGACAGGCTAACTACCCCTCACTCTCACTAAACCCTGAATACTGGCCAATACAAGCAGAAACTTCCAAGGTTCCCCCACCTTTCTCACCTAGTCAGGTTCCTGTAGTCATTCAAAATGACCCAACCCACAAAGTGCATCCTGTCAGGTCTAACTCCAGAAGAGGGACCCAGCCCTATCCCACACCCTACTAAAAAACATATAAAAACCTGTCCCAGCTAGTACAGCTGTGGGTAACACAGGGGCTGGAGGAGAAGGATAACAGTAGACAGGGACACAGGACTCTGGGCTCACTTCAGGAATGAACGGTTCTTATTTTCCCACTGCTGTGTATGTATCATTTACCTAGCTCCTAAAGCGAGCTCTGTAAGCAGAACTTGAGCAATCAGTCTCTTTGACCCCTTTATCCGAGTTCGTCGTCACTTCCCGGTCCTTGAGGTCTTGTTTTGCTTTGCAAGACATTCCTTCTAGGCCTTATTTTTTTTTTTACCTACAGTTTTCTACAGTTGCATATAGGTCAGAGTTTAGCTTGAGAAAGGAGCTGTGGACCATCTGGACACTCCCAGGGGCAAATTCTGCTCCACCAAGATAGACACACACACACACACACACACACACACACACACACACACACACACACACACCCTGTTATTCACTGAGCTATGACTTTGTGTACTGTGCTCTCTCTGTGTCCTATTTTTCCTGCAATAAACGTGGTGTGAGGTGGACTTCAAACTTCCCATCTGTAACTATTTACTTGGAGAAACTAAAGCAAGGAAAACCAGCAGGCAACAAGACTATCTGCCTTCTCTTGAAGGCCCACACAAGAGTCCCTGTTTTGCATATTCCCTGAAGATTCTCTTGTTTTCTGATCCTTTAAGTCAAATCTATTAAATTATTGCAACAGAGAAGCCAACAGGAAGAGTGACTACTCCTAACAGAGATTCATCAACTTTTTCCACTAGTGACTTTGTTTACCTGAGAAATTCATACTCAACCCCAGGTATATAGGTAATATAAAGGGAGTACATAAATAAAACATTTCATGGTAATAATTCATAAAATACTTAAAACAATTTTTATGAATACATATACCTTTACCATTTATTAAGATGAGGAGAAAATTGCTTCCTAATGAGACAGACATGCTTACATTTACATAAAACATTAAATTTTGGCCGGGCAGTGGTGGCTCATACCTTTAATCCCAGCACTCAGGAGTAGAGAGGTAGGCAGATCTCTGAGTTCGAGGCCAGCCTAGTCATTCTATAGAGTGAGTTCCAGGACAGCCACGTCAACACATAGAAACCCTAATCTCAAAAAACAAAAACAAACACGAAAACATTTAATTTTGGCTAAATATTTGATACTCCAGGGTGCAGAACATCTTCAACATTTTTTCCAAAATTGATTGATATTCTGATTTTATAATTATCAGTTCTGAGAGTGTGACTTTAAATGTGTAGAACAGAGTGGTCTTGCCACCAAGACCCTTGAATTCTTTATTTCCCTATGGCAAATAAAGTTATCCATTTTCCCTTTGCTGTCTTCCCACTCTATTCTTGGAGGAAGAATGGACAAGAACGTTGCCAGAGCCAGGAAACCAACTTCACTTACCAACTGTTTCCATAATATCCAATAGTCTCAAATCCTAGCCAAGCTGCTTCAGGTATTTGTTCCCACTTAGCGGCATAGCAGCATGTACAATTCGAATTATGCATTCCGTGTGTTCAAAACCGAGGCTACAATGAAGTTGTCTGGTGGTCGTAAACCTATTGAATTCACTATGTCTGGATTTTTAAAATTAATTTCTGGTTATTTACTTGTTCAGAAACCTTATTGTTACCGAACCTTTCGCCAGTCCCCACATTCAGTCAGTCTTCTAGGGTCATGACTCACAAGTTAAGAAACTGACCTCTAATAAACCACAATTAAAGGACAAACTATACCAATCCAGATCTGATTCGATTTACTGATAGGAGCAGTTGTGTAAAAAGCAGATTGGAGCCAGGTGGTGGCGGCACATGCCTTTAACCCAGCACTTGGGAGGCAGAGGCAGGTGGATCTCTGTGAGTTCAAGGCCAGCCTGGTCTACAGAGCGAGTTCCAGGACAGCCAGAGCTGTTACACAGAAAAACACTGTCTCGAAAAATTTAAAAAAAAAAAAAAGCGGATTGAATGATATAGTCTGGTCTGCTTCAATCAGACACCAGAATCAAAACCACTTTCACCTAGAACCTCCGCCCAGAAGGCAGAGCTTATAACTCTCCCCCAGGCTTTCAAACTAGCCAAAAATAAAATCACCACTTGATATCGCCAGACACACGTCCAACTTCTTAACATTGCAACATAATGTGTTATCGTCTACAAAGTTCACTCTCCACAAAGTTCATGGTCTAAGTAATGTTGGAACACCAGTCTGCATCTTCAGGGTAGCTCCCACAGCCTGAATCACAGGATGCCTCTGCAGCTCTTACCGGGGCAGAGTTAAACTACCTGTGCTGTGAACTGGTAACAGCCCATGATTTACGGCCCTAACCAGTACCTGACTCCATGTTATTTGTCCTGCATATTAGCTATGTTGAACTAGATAAGGTGCTGTGAAACTTCCTGACAATCCTAAAAGATTGAGAAAAAAAAAAAAAAAAAAGGCTAAGTTCCTCCTTTATTGGGGAGATTGGTCTAGAAACTCCTCAGGGGTTTCCGGAGATTGCACTGAAGGCTACTCTCTGTTCAGCTCCTCTGCTCACTCCCTAGTCATTCTCATGGCATCTCTTTTCTGAGACAGGCCTTGAATGGTCCGGAGCTCGATATGTAGACTAGGCTGGCCTCGAACTCACAGGTAACTAACCACCGGGTTTCTGCCTCCTGAATGCTGGGAGTAAAAGCTTATACCACTATGCCTGGCTCTCTTACACACACTCTTAATATTAAGTTCCTTCCTAGACTTTGAAGGGAACTCTTTTCTTAACTTTAAGGTCTCACGTTTAGATCTCCATATATTTTATTATTTCTATGTGATTCTCTCTCTCCCATCCCGAAGCCCCATCATAGCTTTGAGGCCCTTTCGTTCTAGTAAACCTCATCCTTCAAAGGAATTATGAATTGTGTTGGCTTCCTTTCTGGATTGATAACCAATGCGCCCCCCGCCCCGCCCCGATATTTATCAGAAGTCACACACACATAAAAATCGAGAAAAAAAAATCCACTTCATAATATTTAAGTTTATTGTGTTGGGTCACATTCTTAGTATTCATGCAGTCCATACAGCGCTTGGATACGCCGGACTGATTCCAATGACGCCTTCCAGCATCACATATACACGCTGCCTTGTTTGGAAAGGGGAATGAATGGTTGGAATTTAAAATCCCAATCTTCTATTCACTCACCAAGTGCCCCTGTGTGCTCGATCACTCTCACGCCCTAGTCGGGAGTCTCACAAGGCAGGTATTATCAAGGAGCCGCACTCCAGCCCCATCGCCCATTCATTGGCCAGAGCCTGATTCCGGGTAAACGTTGCTGAGCTACCACTGTCCAAACGTCCACGGCGCCCCGGATTGGCCCGCGTCACTTCCTCGGTTCCGGACACAGTCCACGCAGGAGCGGGTCTTTACGGAGACCCGCCCACAGGGCGTGGCCAGAGCGCGCCCCACCGGGGAATGCGGCCGTCGGCCTTTGCCCTCCGCACCGCACCCCTGAGAACCGCGCTTGACTGGGAAACAGTCCCAGGGCTGGGACCACGAAGCAAGCCGGAGACGGTCGCCAAGAGCCGCGAGTACGCCCAGAGACGCTCCGGCCGACCGGCCGGAAGCGGAACCGAGCAGAGCCGGAAGGAGCGAAGCCCACCTGAAGGTTGCTGAGCACCGGCGGGCGTTGAGCCCAACGGAGCCCGCGTCATGGCGGCCGACGGGACCGGTGTAGCCGGAGGAGGTGCTGTCGGCGGCTGCCTGACCAAAGACAGCTTGCAGGATGCTAAGTGCCCGGTGCCGGTCCCCAATCGGCGGCGCGCTTCATCGCTGTCTCGTGACGCGCAGCGACGAGCCTATCAGTGGTGCCGGGAGTACCTGGGCGGGGCCTGGCGCCGAGCGCAGCCGGAGGAGCTGAGCGTTTGCCCCGTGAGGTCAGGGGTCAAGCCTCCGGGCTATCAAGACACTCCCTATTTAGATGCTGTCAGGGCTGTGCGGGGGAAGGGGGCGGGGCCAGGACCAGGTCTGCGGACCGCTGTGCTGGGGGGATCGGGGTCTCCCTGGGGGCTTGGTGAGGTCTTCTCTCGGGAGTGGGGGCTAGGGTGGGTCTCACCCATCTGGGTGACTCTTGCTGAGCCTGATCGGTGTGGATCTGCAGCGGAGGCCTTAGCAACCTGCTCTTCCGATGCTCGCTACCGAACCACCTGCCCAGTGTGGGCGAGGAGCCCCGCGAGGTGCTGCTACGACTGTATGGGGCCATCCTGCAGGTGAGGGGGAGCGAGGGCCGGAGCTTGAAGTGAGCAAGTGGGGCAGAAACTGTTGCCATCCTTGTGCATCCGAGTGTGTTGATGCTCGTGGACCATCAACAGCTTTTGCTCCAGGATCCCCAGTCAGTCAGACCAGAAGTCCCAGCCAGCTATGATGAATGAAGAAAACATCCCTTTGCACCCGTGCCCACTTACCTCCGGCTCTTTCTCACTTGGGCTCCTTTGCCATCTTCCTTCAGGGTGTAGACTCCTTGGTATTGGAAAGCGTGATGTTCGCCATTCTTGCAGAGAGGTCACTAGGGCCCCAACTTTATGGAGTGTTTCCAGAGGGCCGCCTGGAACAGTACCTCCCAGTAAGAGCCCAGTTTTTATTGTTATTTTTACCAAGTCCTTCCCCTTCCCCGATGTCTGCCTTCACATCCTAGGTAGGGAAATTTCCCTAAGACCATGATCTCCTCCCATTCCCATATCCCTTCCCCCGTCCCGCCCCAGCCCCCTCACCACCCTGATAGGTTACTGGGTACAGAGCCGGCCATTGAAAACTCGAGAGCTCCGGGACCCAGTGTTGTCGGGAGCCATTGCAACAAAGATGGCCCGTTTCCATGGTATGGAGATGCCCTTCACTAAGGAGCCCCACTGGTTGTTTGGGACCATGGAGCGGTGAGTCAGATTTGGGACCGGTACACCTAAACTGAACCTCTAGTTTGGGTGGATAGGCTTCCCAGTATCCATCATGAACGCTCGTGTTTCCCAGCCAAGTCACAGTGACAGGAAAATTTGGCCTAAAAGTATGTAGGAGAAGAGAGTGGGGAAAGATAGGAGAGTGAATGTATCCTATTTGGGGGACTTACAGGTACCTAAAACAGATCCAGGACCTGCCTTCCACGGGCCTCCCCCAGATGAACCTGCTGGAGATGTACAACCTGAAGGATGAGATGGGCAACCTCAGGTGAAGGCAGACCTGGCATTTAGCAGTGTCCTCCCCAGGATTTGCTGAGGACTCGAGTCAGGGCTAGCCTTTGAAGGTAGCTGTAGTCACGTGACCTTACAACCTATGCCCCTCTACCTCTACAGGAAATTGCTAGAGGCTACCCCATCACCAGTGGTCTTCTGCCACAATGACATCCAGGAAGGTATGAGAGCGTTTGTGAGCCTTCAAGCCCAGGCTGCAGGGGGTGGGGTGCCCTGAAGTGACCAAAATCCCCATTCCCCCAGGGAACATCTTACTGCTCTCCGAGCCAGAAAATGGTGACAGCCTCATGTTGGTTGACTTTGAGTACAGTAGTTACAACTACAGGTAAGGGTTGGAGGACAAGCTCCCATGGGACCTGTTCCTCCTGGGCTCTGGGAGAACACTGCCGGGCCTTCGTCTCCACATCCCAGCTGCCCATGGACTGAATGCTTGCTTATTCTCTCAGGGGCTTTGACATTGGGAATCATTTTTGTGAGTGGGTTTATGATTACACCCACGAGGAGTGGCCTTTCTACAAAGCGAGACCCACAGACTACCCCACTCGAGGACAGCAGGTTTGTAGGCTGGGGGTTGGGAAAAGGAGCTTTTTTTTTTTTTTTTTTTTTTTGGTAAAAAGAAAGAATGGGCCGGGTGGTGGTGGCGCACGCCTTTAATCCCAGCACTCAGGAGGCAGAGCCAGGCGGATCTCTGTGAGTTTGAGGCCAGCCTGGGCTATCAAGTGAGTCCCAGGAGAGGCGCAAAGCTACACAGAGAAACCCTGTCTCGGAAAAAAAAAAAAAAAAAAAAAAAAAAAAGAATGGCTAGAAAAGGTAAAATTCCACCATCTCCCCAGTTCCTGACTCTTGTCCATTGCTCTCAGCTCCATTTTATTCGCCATTATCTGGCAGAGGTTCAGAAAGGTCAGATCCTCTCTGAAGAGCAGAAGAAGCTGGAGGAAGATTTGCTGACAGAGGCCAATCGGTGAGGACGGAGGGCAAGGGGGGAGTGAGGGAGGACTCGGAGGAGGAGAATTGCAGGTAAGGTGCCAGTGTAGATGACCGGTGACATCAGGAAAAAAGCAGAGAGTCACAGTGGGGTAAGGGTTAGGAAAGTGGGGGAGAAGCTGGGCCTTTGGAGACTGACTAGCCTTGGGGGAAACTAAATAGGCAATACTAAACGCACTCTTGATGGCCCCTCCTTTTCCTGTCGTCCCACCCCCACCCCCACTCCCTAGGTACGCTCTGGCTTCACATTTTTTCTGGGGTCTGTGGTCCATCCTCCAGGCATCCATGTCCACCATAGAGTTTGGCTACTTGGTAATAACCCATACATTGGGCATGTTGGGTGGGGGCTGGGGAGGAGCGCTGGTCGTGTCCTCCAGGAAATCCAGGCAGTCCCTGGTAGCTGTGGGCAGAACTCAGCAGGTGTAGGCTACTGCTTCCAGCCTTCTCATCGCTCTGTATTATGGGTTTCCTTCCTTAGGAGTACGCCCAGTCTCGGTTCCAGTTCTACTTCCAGCAGAAGGGGCAGCTGACCAGTTTCCACCCATCATCTTGACAGTCCAACCCCACCTCAGATTTCTCCTGAAGACTCCAGGGCAGGACCTTGGAGGGAGGGCCAAAGAGCAGGAGACCCCAGAGACTGGGCTGTGCCCCTAAGTGAGACTGTTGTTAAAATCGCTGACCTCTGTCCTCCTGTTTGAGTAGATGCCCAAGGTGGGCATCTGGAATCCCTGGGGTTGTGTACTTAAATAAACAAACTGCTTCGGAAATATACAAACTGAGGGATACAGATTTAAGTGATTTCTGTTTAGTGCACTGTGCTTAAAAGTGGTGAGGGGTCTGTCGGTTCCACTCATTGAGATCTTCTATTCCGGAATATTCCCTGGCTCCAGTCTAGAAGTAACAAATACTGACTTGGGGAAGAGGACTGGAGAGGCCTGGGGCATCAGCGGGCCCTGGGTGTGATCCTCAACCTTGAGTCCTGGAATTAGGGAACAGGCTGCACAGCTGACTCTTGGTGACCTTTTCCCTACATTCAGCTATTTTTAGCACTGATGCAACCATGCTCACGTGAGACCCTCCACTCCCCAGTCCCAGACCTTCCAGCAACCTTCAGCAGGCTTGTGGGAACTCTGCCCACCCCTTCTAGGCGCCCCACCAAAAGGAGGGGGTTCTGGTTTCCGCCCATATCTGTTTTCTCCACCCCAATTTGGGAGTGGGTGTCAAGTTCCCAGTGAGGGCAGGGCGGGGCCGGGCTGGGGTGGCCAGGCCTGAAGGACGTGGGGACATGGGCCAGAGTGGCCAGACCCTACACCGACAGAAGCAAACCTGAGCTGTGAGTGGGGGACCAGCACAGGGAGGCCATCCGGACCCAGAGCCATTCCGTCCCACAACTCTTCACCCTTACTGTCATCCGAGCTTTGCGAGCGAGGACTGTGCTGGGAGCACCTGAACCTAGTCTCTGTCCGGGCCCACTCCCTTTCCTGGGCGTCTTTCCTGGACCCCAAGCCGCCCTTCGCTGCCCTTGGGGCACCTGGAGCCCGACTCCTGCAGCATTGCAGATAGGCCTGTCCGGAACCCCACGAGGGTTCTGCGGCGGCGGCGGCGGTTAGCCAGGCTTGGGAGGGCCCAGCAGGGCGCGTAGCAGCGTTGGGGCACGGGCGGGTTTGGGAGGGGGGTGGTCGCATAGGGAACCGGGCAGAGGGTGGGGGGAGCGAGGACCAGATGGGGCGGCGGAGGGGCGGAGCCTCAGCTAGAGGTGGCCGGGCGGGGGCGGGGCTGGACACACTAAGCACCTTCTGCCCCTAACCTTAGGTGCTGACTGAACCCCAGGATGGCGGAAGCACACCAGGCAGTAGCTTTCCAGTTCACTGTGACCCCGGATGGGGTCGACTTCCAGCTTAGTCGGGAGGCTCTGAGACACATCTATCTGTCTGGAATCAACTCCTGGAAGAAACGCCTTATTCGCATTAAGGTGTGGGAACAGGTGGTTCTCCCGGCCTCTTTTTCCCAGCAGGTGCTTAGGCAGAAGCCAGCTGTCAGCAGTTAGTCTCCTTGTCAGTGCCTGTCTCCGCCTTTGGCCAGCAGGACCGCTGG